TCCCCCAGCGGGCGGGCGGGCGGGCGTGGAGCCGAGCAGCCCCTTGCTGGGGAAACCCTCCTGCTTTTTGCCTTTAAAGGAGAATCCGGTTTTTTTAAGTTTGCTCCCCACCCTTTCCTATATTTGTACAACCTGCTTTTGGGGGCTGAGAACCACTGTGCTAAGGGGCCGCGGGGCTGGAGCAGCTCTGGAGAGCCCGTGACCTCTGTGGGATTCGAACCAGTGAACTGGAGAGGAGGGGGCCAGCAGGTGTCTTTCCCTAGCCGGCTTTAGCCTCGGGATAGCAGGAAGCCTTGCCGCCTTCCTGGTCCCCCCACGGCCTACATCACCTCCCGGGCCCTGAGGCCGAGGAATCAAAGGCCCAATGGACTCTCCATCCATGGAGGGGTTCAAGAAGGAGGCGGCCGCTGGTGGAGGATGATCTAGGCCTAGCCATGTCTAGGTCCTGCTGTGGGGATTCCCCAGGTTTTGGGCTTTGCAGGCCTAATGAACCAACATCATCTGATTATTTTTTACCTAGTTCGTTGTGGTTTTGTTATACATAATACACGTTATAGAAATCTGAATAATATGATTATAATTAAATCTTCTAGTGTATTTGGGTGTAACCAGCCCCTCCTGCCACGTGTCAGGGTGGCTTTAAGTCTTCCTGGGAGGCACTGGGGGTTGGTTACACCCAAATACACTAGAAGATTTAATCATAAACTAGTGGCGTAGGTCTGTATTATTCAGATAGAGATCAGAGCAAAAAAAATAAATAAATGAATTGGATTGTGTGTTGGTTTTCTATATCATGTATTATATATAACAAACCCACAACAAACGAGGCAAAAAATCAGATGATGTTGGTTCATTAGGCCTGCAATCATTAGAATTAAATGGACATCTCTTGTTCGGATCTATAAAACAAATTCTAGCCTGGTGGAGCGTCTTGACGGTGCTTCCAGCTGAAAGTTATTTCCACACCTGCATTAATGCTTTTAGCAAGAGTTAAAAATGGTCTGTAGGGCTGTGAAATAGGAGCTACATTACCAGGAGCAGGGATCAGACAACGGAAGTGCGGAAGAAAGGCTAGTTTGTCCAGTTGGACATCAAGACCTTTTAAATGGACAGAGGGTCCTTAACGCTTGTGGAATGAAGAGTTGAGAAGGACTCCAGTAGATGATAGCAAGCCACTAAATCAAGTGACTCCTACAGTGCTGCCTGACTAGAAATGCTGCTGTCACTGCCAGGCAGGTGGTTTTAAACTTTGGGTAGGGGAGGAATCAAAGCAGGGTACAACTATCCCCCCCGATCCACCCCTGGAGACAGCCCCACCTCCCTGGTTTCTTTACCCATCCCAGAAAGAGCTGGGCAGGGCTGCCCTCAATGACATGGCTCCACCTGCCTTGTTCCTTAAATCTGTCTTCTCGTTACTGCCTCTTTTGTTAACTGCCCCCAAACTTTTAAGCAGTCTTATAGCTGTGATGATCCTGGAGCTGTGGCAGTTACTGGAGGAGGATGTCTTTTATTGGACCAACTCTTGAGTTGAGAGAGACATCAGATAAGATATCTCTGCTTCTTAGCCCTGTGTGTAAGCATTTTATGCCCCAAAGCTTATCTAGCATCTCTCCCAACTATAGCATCAATCTGAAAAAAAGATAAGGATGAACAGATCTTGCATCTCCCCACGCTTTAATATAGATTTTGGCTTGTCGGGGCTGTAAACATCATAAATGCCAAGTTAAACCTGCCCTGTGGTGTCTTGTGCCCTTCAGAGCACAATGACACGTGGCTACATTCAAACCTCTGAAAACCAGGAGATGCTGAGATCCATTCCACGTCACCCCCACAACACAAACTGAGCCTCGACCCCTCGAGCTGTGGGGGCCAGAAACCAGGTGCAGGGACGCAAACACCTCCGAGAACCCGGAGAAGTTTCCATTGTTTGCGCGACCTTCCATAATTTGCATTTCAGCCTAGATCTGCAGGGCCAGATTAACCCTTTAGCGGGCCCTACACAAACAAACTTGTGGGCCCTTATTTTACATGTTATAATTATGGAGTGAAAAAAAGTAAGCACAACTGGGCCCCTTCTTCATTTAGGGCCCCAGGCATGTGCCTAGTTTGCCTATGTGTTAATACAGCCCTGTTGATTTGTATGCATGACAATGGCCATTGTTGGCTCCTGAATGGGGGAGAGACTGACTGGCTGGAGCAGGTGGACAGTCGCGTTACAGTGAACGAGCTGTGCGGTACCAAGTTCAGTAGCTGCTTCTTCTCAAGGAGGCCGCCTGCGCTCGAATGTCCTGAGTCTCTGGGGTTGGGGAGGCAGGTAAGTAAAAGTGATGAGTCTCTTTGGGATGGGGAGAAGAGGGTTGAGGTTGGCCGGAGGGAGCAGCCCAGGGCTGCAGTCGTTAAAGGACAGGGCTTTTGGAAGTGGGAAGCAGACATGTTTCAACTTTGGGACTGATTCTGCAGAGCAGGAGCAGGATTCACGTGCAGGCTAGGTGTAGGGAGCTCCTGTTTGCTAGGCCTGACCTAAACCCAAGTTCTGCCTTAGCAAAAATCCCTTCTACTGTCTTCATAGGCTCTTAGGCACCTGTAAGGAGAGGGTGTATGCGTGTTATTTATTAGCACATTGGGAAATAACTATGGGGGCAGAGTTAAGGCTATGTTGCAGAGGTGAGACACAGGAGACCAGGGGTGGAGCCCAGCCTTTCCCAGAAAGGGTGATGCTGTGATAGCCAGCATTTACAAACACTCCTCTCTCCAGTCACTGCTTGGCCTGCCTCTGTCTGAGCTCTGCAGCCACTCTCACCACTCAGCACATGAATGAACAAAAAGTTGCATTTGTCCAAATGCAGCTGTCAATAAAGTGAATCAAGCCACAAGTGTGAGTAAGGACGCCAGGCTGGCCAGCGCTGAATATATCTGCAACATAAAGCTTCGCAGAAATTGCCACCAGTCAATTCAACAACAACAAAAAAAGTGAGTTTAGATTCTATTGAGCACGTTCAACACATTCACATTTCTCACGTAAATACTTGCACTTTCAGGGATGGGATTTCCTGCCCTTGACCTTTCCAAAGCTATCCCTCTCCCCAGAGCCAGGGAGGATGGTTACCCTTTGCTGTATGCCTTGAAGGCCAGGCAGCAAGCTCCTGTCCTATCAAACCAGGAAGAGAAACAAGTTCTGGAGCTGAACAACCAGGAGACAGTCCTGCTGATGAGGTGTCATGCTGGGAGCCGGCTGGGATTCGGAGGCCTATATCCCATTCTTAGTTCTGCCACTGACCTGCTGTGTGACCTTGGGCAAGTCACTTCACCTCTTCAGGTCTCTTATAACAAGGCACTTTGAGAGAAGAGAGAGGTGATCTGATAAGGAAATCAGTGATTTTGTAGGAATCCTCATCTTGAACTATTCACCTTTATACAGACCCTTCCCTTACCCATATCTGTGGGCTTTCTGTCAGCATGTGTAAGCCAGAGGACCTCAGTTGTGGAGCCAAGTCAGAGCTTGGTATCCAGAAAACCTGGTCAAGATGGTGCTAGAGACCAGCTGGGCAGGGCCCGAGACCCAGGGCTGGAGATGTGCTGTCAGGGTGCTTCTGGAGTGAAGCTGAGCTGTGGGCAGCACCCTGCAGGTGCTGAGAGCGCTGCCCTGCTGAGGCTCCAGGGGGCTGTGTACCCCAGGCCCTCTGTGACCTAGTTTATTTGACAACCCACCCAGGGTTTGAACTTGATTGAGTGACAGATCAGACAGCTGGGCTTCACGCGCCAAGAAGACCCAGACATCATTTCAGCACAGCTTTCCTAGCAGGTGCATTGCACATGCTCGCTGGCGACGCATAGGGGTGCACGTGGGTGCACATACCCATGCACATGCTCACCTCTCCACTTCATCCTGTGAACACGTGGGAAGGCCTGGGATTAGGTGGGCTTGTTCTTTTGTTCTAGGCCAATTTTTCATCTGGCTTTGGCTTTGCAAAATGCTTTTTACTTTGCGCGATCTCACACATGCGCACACATACCCCCGCAGCCTTCCTGTGGGCTGAGAACATAACGGTCCAGTTAACCTCACAGCTGGACCACACCTTGGTGGTGACACCGCCCTACTACAACCATTGTACCCTGTTTTGTTCCTTCTGCTCCAAGCGCCCCGACTTCACGACACAACTTCACAAGAGACAATGACCATTCAGACCCCCCTGGTAACAAAAGGGGAGCTAAATAGTGCTCCAAATTGTGTCCTTCCTTGTTGCAAGCCTCACACTGACTTCACTTGGCCTCTTACCATTTC